ATCAGATCATCTGTGTTCACTACAAACTCGAGATCAAGAGAAGCTCGGCAGGAAGTGAGTTTTCCAAATCAATCAAGCGGAGTCAGACGAGCAATGCTCACCTAGAATAAATATTCTCAATGAAGCTTAGGTTTTTCCTCGTGGGCATATTTATTTATTTCCTCATTATTAATTTATTTGAATAATACGCAAGACTGGTTTTCGTACCCAAACATACATGTATAGTTGTCCTTTCCTGATGCCTTTAAAACTAATCTGAGTAACGATTACTGCCAAAGGTGTATTCATATGCCATCTACGATTAATTTAAAAAATGAAAGACTAGGAAGCATTTTTTTGGCAAAACTCTCCTTTTTTTCTCCTCTTTCTTTTCATTTTCTCTTCTATAACGACTATGCCACGGCATTAACTATGGGTTAAAGATATTGTTACAATGCCCGAATTAATGATATATTAAATATAAAAAGAAGAGAAATTAAGATGCAAATAATTTTTATGTGAAATTTAGATAATGAGAAAAAAAAATCTTATATATACGCAAAACATTATGCCAGAAATCTTGTACAGAAGTTCTTTACAACAAAAAAGCCTCATTTTGTAGTCTATTATATTATTCGGAGCACGAAATGTGAAAAAACAGCTATGTGCTCACCGGGATTCAAATCGTGGATCTTGCAATTGTAAGCTAGATATGCTATCACTTACAAACCGAAAGCACGTACGAGAAAAAGCGATCAATCCTTATAATTAAACGTTTGTCCTCCTTTTTATTTTCCTTTCGCTCACCACTTTTAATTAAGCATTTAACTAACATTTCTCTTAACAGGAAATATCAAAAAGAACATACGGGCTAATAGAAAGTCAAGAAGTGATAACACTTATACTGTATTCTGAACGTGAATAATATGATTCTCCTTGACACTGCTCCGAAACATTAAAATATTTGCTTTCTTTTGTGAGCTCGGAGAAATTTTCGGGCAGAAAGGACAAAGTTAAGTCTTGAAGCTTTGAAGTAGATAATAAGAAAACTCTTGAAACATTTGGCCACCTGAAAAGTGTTTAAGCAAACATTTAAACATTCACTTAATTCTAAAAAAAATTAAAATCATATAAGTTTTACAAGGATTTTATAAAATAATATCACTCAACATATTTTGATCCGACTTGTATCTATTCAGTATCGGTTTTTTATTCCGAGTCATTAGGTTTATAGAAGCAGGAAACAAGAAAAAAATGCAGAGTGCCCTCACCGTCATTCGAACTTATCTCCCGACTGCTAGCCAGACGTGTTTCCAATTACAACAGGAAGGCACTGTGTAATACAAAAAAGCAGCTCACAAATATGCGAAATGCTAGTTATAGCTTATCAGCCTAAAATTATAAAAACACATCCACTAACATTCAACATTTGCATACAGCGTGTTTTTTCAAATAACTTATATTATGCGTTCAGTCGCAAGAAACTGTACTTAATTTCTTGAATAACATGTTTATTATTTCTTTTCCTACTCAGTTCTATAAATTCTCTATGTTTATAAATTTAATATAATTTATAAACATCTGGAAAGATACATCTTCGAGATGTTTTTTACTTTTCGAGGATTTGCTGACCTGAAAAGTAGAAAGTATTGCCACGTAAGGGAAATATTTGTTGCAAAAAAGATCCCGTGAAATAAATCCCAGATGCGTTTAGAATTAATTATTTTCTTTATTAAAGCATACTAGTGTTCTACGGGTCGTTAATTTGGAATAATAATGAATAAATGCATGCTGAAATGTCGAAATGAATGTTCAGTGCGGAAATAATGATGTCGCAAAATTTTACCTTACTGTTAAATTCACGAATTTAAACAGCTTATTTTAAATAAAAAATTTCATTTCATACACACTAAATTAATTCTAGGAGAATTAATTTTTAAATTTATTAGGCCTATTGTAACTGCTTGGTCTTGTCTCAAAATCAAATTATAGTTTCTTTTCAACTTTCTGAAAAATTTTAATTTTTTAATTTTTAAATATATATATATTTAAAATTCTATATATAATAAGCAAGAGATAGTAATTATATCAAAAATAGACCATAAAAGGGGGTCATTTACTACAGGAAACACACATATCAAAAGTAAACCCAACTCTTTCAAAACTGAAAAGCCCAAAAAAGTTAATAAAGATGATAACAAATATATAAAAGGTTATTGAAAGTTCTTTCGTCTTTTTCAAGGCGCAGCCGAAGAGGTTTCAGCAGAGCCTCGTTTCTGAATTTTATTTAGATGATTCTTAACAGTGGCACATTTCAAAATAAAATTAAAAGAAAATGGCAATTAAGATAGTTTAAATAATTAGAATGCTTTAAAAATGCAACGAAGTGAATTTTCATATTTGATCAAAATTTAATTATTAATTAAGATATCACCTGCTCCATCGCAACCCCAAAATAAAAATTTAAAAATGATTTTAAAAAGGTTAGGTTAGGTTATTTAATTACGGCAAAGCTTCGAGGGCTATCTGCCTAAGGGAAATGATGCCTTCGTGGAGCACTTTCTAAGGAGAACTGGCTCGTATATACGTTACACAGAGTATATACGTTACAGAGGGAAAAGCACGAAAGCACTCATGCAGCCAGCCCGTTCGCGGGATTCGAACCTCGGACCGAACTACCAGTGTTCAGCGACTACTGTGTTTACCGCTCGGCCGCTGGTGGGCTGAATTAAAAAAAAAAAAAAAAAAAAAAAAAAGAATTCTCGAATAAGAAATTTGAATAACCAGTGGGTAAATCAAACACAATCTGCTAAACAAGTATTAATTAAATATTAATTACATTTTGAGTAAGAAACCAGAATAAAACAGAAGCATAGGGTCCAAAAAAGTAATTGCTTATACCATTATAAACCAGATTCTAAGAATTACAAACAGTTACACTACAGTTGAAGACTTAATATAAATAATAAAAAAATTCACTACATAAAAATTACACTTACTGGATGCGTAATAATTGTAAATATACTTGTAAATTTGTGAATAGTCCCTCTATATTCTTTTGCTAACAAATGGCCATTTCTATTTCAGCCCTATTATACTCAAAATAGGCGAGGACATTTTACTATTAATTCGCTTTTTTTCTTTTCAAAACATTTTCTGCTCCCCATTACCCACATTATTCATTTTTAATTCACTTAAAAGCTAATTTACTTCTATTAAAAAAAAATTAATTTGAAATTTCTTTCCACCACTTTCACATTTTCAAAAAGTATTTAAAAATATTTTTAAAAATTAATTGGTTTAATTATTAAATTTAATTATTCGAAATTAATCCCAAGCAAAATTCAAGTTTTATATTAAATTTACAATTTCCACCTTTTTCATTTTTCAGTTTTACAGACTAAATATTTGCAATTCAGTTCACTAATTGCATTTTGTTATTTCCATTTACTCAAACTTTCCTGTTGCAACTCTTTCAGATAGCATTCTCGACGGTTACTCGGCAAATAGCCAAATGGGGGTTTTGCTTCATGCCTTTTTAATTTTTTATTAATTATTTGATTTTTCATTGTTGTTTCTTTTTCCATTTTAAGCTTCCAAGCTTAATCATTTTCTTCCCAGTCTTGAAACTTCTCTGCATTAATTGTTTTTAAATTCTTACTTTAATTTTGATTAGTTTCTTCCAAATAAATTCGTTTCCTCACTAAGCACTAATTATCTTCTAGATATAATTAACTATCTCCAGCACTAACTATCTTCTAGATATAATTCAGAAAAGTGGCATTTTAAAAACTCTTTGACTGCTTCTTGATAGAGACCGAGAATTTTCAACTAATTATATATATTTTGTATCAGTTTTATTAATTTTATTGTATTGTTTTAGTTTAATTTTAAAATGTTTTTGTTTTAGTTTTGATATGTGTATTTCCTGTTAGAGAGCTCTTTTCATGATCTAATTTTGATTTAATTATTATCTCTTGTTTATTTAATTAATTTCGCAGCATATTGTGCAACTGTAATAATATATATTATCTAAATTTCGAATTTTTGAACTTTTGTTTATCTATATGTAATGAAGCAGTAGCAGCAGAATGAAGAAGTTTGCGTTTTTGATAGCTTTGCAATAAAAAGAGAGCAGCAAGCAGAAATAAAAAAAAAGCAGGAACGTCTGCCTGCTAAATTAGAGAAATTCTGTAATGCTCCGAAAAAAATAAAGAAAATTTTTTAGAAAACTTTGCAACTTTAGAAACAGCTTTAAAATTTTTTTTTAAATGAAATATTTTTCTCTTCAGGATTCTCTTTCTTCGATAATAGAGAATGCTAATTTACGTTTGTCACATGTATGGAATACAACACATTTTTGATTAGCACATTTCCAGCGTTTCTTCGTCTTATAGTACAGTCAAACCTGGTTTAGATATATAATGTATTAAATTGACAAAACGGAAGCAACATACAGCAATTAGATTCCCAAAGTGCATTTAATACAGAACTCAAAATTTCGTCGTAATGCACTGTTAAAGCATAAGAATATTTAAATTAAATTCGTTATTGAAATTTTGTTGACCCACTATGATAAGGCATTCAGCAAGAAAATTGTGTTACGAAAAAAAGACTTGTATTAACAAGAAAACAACGAATTTTTCCGTATAAGCAGAAATTTATCTTTCTATAGTCTTTGGGAGAAATTGTAATTTCTGGCACACATCTACTTAATTTGAGTTATAAGACAGAAATCTGATCGCGCTTTAATAGAAAAGAGAGAGGCTTATTTGCATATAATCCCAAAAGCATCTTACTATCATGATCTTTATCCCCCAATTCAAGAAAGCGTCCTCAAAGCTGATGGAAGTGTATCTCCAGAGAGATTATAAAGAGAAACAGTTTGACTTTTCAATGTACATCCATTCTTCGGTAGTCATTTAAGCGGCGAAGAGGCCTGCTCTTACTTTCCATCCAGACCCACGTTCCAACCTGTCGAATAAGTAGGCCACCGAGAAGGGGGTTCTACCTTGGACATATAAAACTGGAACTTCTTTCTCCATGTCATTCTGTTGATTAAGTTGAGCTAGTCTTGTGAGCGTTTAGAAGAGCGATAGGAATTGTTTTCTCTTTTGTTTTCGAGAAATCTTCAACAGTGATTATGACAAGGTAGGCTTTTTTTTAGCTGTCAGGTGAAACGGAATTCGTTTTTATTTTTTTATTTATTTTTTATTTTTTATAATTAGATACGGGAAGGATTCACCTCCGCGCTTTCATTTAAAAAATATATTTTTAAAGGTTACATTAGGAAATTTTGTTGGAATTTTGTTGAAATATATTTTTAATGTTACATCAGGAAATTTAGAAATATTCATGTTTACTTTTACTTAGCACCTTATATTCATAAATAATTCAGAAATATTTGGATTGAAATAACAAATATTTATTACAATATTCGTGTTTATTACAATATTTGTGTTTTTATTACGCTTCGTAAAGTAAGGCAGATTCAGAAAGCGATTTAAATTTAAGATTTGTAAATTGATGGCAATAATGTGGATCTGTTAAAATTTTATGCAGATAAACGGAATGTTCTGAACCTTATTTTTCAATAGTTATCAAAATTAAACTGAAAAATTGAGTTAAAATTAGCTGATAAAAATCTGATTTTGCGGAGTTTTAGAATGCACTGTTATATGTATAATTCACTGCAATAGACTGACACATTTTGAGGCTTTATTAAAATAATTAAATTCGTTTACTTTCTGATCAAACATTTTGTTTCGACAGTTGACTGAAACAGTTATAATAATTAAAACAATAAAAAATATTTATTGCAAGCTCTTTATAGATAGCACTGGGAAACGTTTTATGGAAAGTCTGCATCATTATCTCTGAAACAAGCAATTTCGCTTTCTAGTGCAGTATGGTTTATTTGTGAAACAGAGTAATTGATGTTTACCTTAATGAGTAATAGACTGTGAGTTACCAATAATATTGTTCCTTAATGATATGATTGATGAACTGTATTAATGTTTTCTTCTTTACTTGAAATACTCTGATAGTTTTAGCACATATAATGACAATTCACTAAGCCATTTGGAACGTAACAGTATAGTACACATGAAGTATCATTTAGAGCATATCTTAATCCCAATAAAATAGCAAGAGAAAGCAAGGATTATTTACTTAGAGTTGTTAGTATATTCATTCATTTCATAAGATGGAACATTTTAAAGAATTATTGTCTTATCCTACTTTCTCATGTTCGCAAAGGAATTTTTTTTTTTTTTTTAAATTTGTCATTGCACGCTCATTTATTTGTTATAGAAATCGCTGTTTCACTGCGAAAACGAACCTTGAGTTCATATTATAATGTGCCCTCAGATAGGTTACCATCAGTTATAAGATCTTTAAGATTTCCTTGATGTTCTTTTCAGTTCAGGAAAATATATATAACGTATAGTGTATTAAACTTTCTCCTTTGCAACGTTCTGTATCGTTTTTATTTACTTATATAGTTGATTAAGATTTCCTTGATGTTCTTTTCAGTTCAGGAAAATATATATAACGTATAGTGTATTAAACTTTTCTCCTTTGCAACGTTCTGTGTCGTTTTTATTTACTTGTATAGTTGAAACTTTCATGAGCAATTTCGACGTTTTTAAAAATATAATCATTACAGTATTGTGAAATAGGAAATTTAATTTGCAACTAAAAAATACTACTAGAAACAATAACGTAATTGTAGAATTTAATCTAATGAACTTTAGATAAAATATACTTCCATATTGTGTACTTTGTGATTTTGACACTACTTCCTTACAGGCAGGCAAGAAATATTATTTATTGAATTTACGTATAATTTCGAAGTCGAAACATTATTTGAGTTATTAGACCCTAAAGCTGTTTAGATATTATTGAAATAACTTTTTGAGAGAAATGAATGAAGTAAATAAATTCAAATAAAAATAGAGCCATTTAGTTCTCTTTTCTTTCCTATTTATATATCATATAAAACTAAAACTTGAATTTATATTCAAGTTTTAATTTTACTGTTCATGTCTAATACGTTCGCATTACAAGTAGTGTTATGATAACATTCTCGAGAAAAATAAATTCTTTCTCATATAAAAAGTAATACTGCCCTATTAATGATAAATTATATTAACTACTTAAATTAATGATGTTAATTAGACAGAATAATTTTAATTATGAGCGATAAAAAAGTCAGTTGCAAAGCCTTGGAATCTTAAATATACACCTAACATTAAAATATATAACAAATATGAAAAACAGTCTGCGCCAAAATAGATTATAAGTTACTAAAAATTAGTCATTTAAATTTACTGGAACATTTACAGTGCCGATTTTGGACCAAACTTTGCAGGTTTTTAATTGCTTCGCAAACTAAGTTGGAGGCAATTTTTTTAAAACTTTCTCTGAATTATAACGGCTTAGAAACTCTTACAAAGTTTTCAAGTATTTGTAAGCGTCAGTGATGATGCTTCCTTGCGTCGTAAAAGATCACATAAAAAAGATTTTCTAGCTTTGACATATAACCTCATAAATTCAAACTACAAAAGAAGTGGAGAAAGTGAAAAGAAATTGCGTGAGCAATCTATTGAAAATAGGCGGAACATAATTCTGAGAGGTCGACGAACTTAACGATTTGGAACCGCACCCCCAGTTTTTTCACAATTTTGCATCTTTCAAGAAGGATCTTCAGATTGAAAACTTATAAAGTAATTCCATGTAAGAAACAATAACTAGCTTTAAAATAATAACTGTAACTAGCTTTTCAAAATAATTTATGGCTCAAAAATTAAATAATTTGTTGAATTATTGGAGGAATAATTACGTGCTAGTATGTTCATATTCCTTTGCATAATTTCGAAAAAAAATATGATTATTTACTCGAAAATCAAGAACAATTCCATTTTTAGTGCAAATAAATTTCTATGAGATAATTTATTCATTTAGACGCCATAGAGAAAACAGAATTTTAAAACCTATAAAAATATTCCCATTTAAGTAATTTTTCGTATCTATATCACTGAAACTACTATTATTTCATAATAATGTATACTTATGTGTACTTTCATCATATGAGTGAACAGTTTTATTTACGTAAGATATGAATGGCAATGTAATTGCATCAAAAAGAAAAGTTTTCTTTTAACATTATTTATCAGCTGATGAGAAACTTGCCTTTGAAAGCAACAAAAACCATTTCTTGATGTAAATTATTAATTCTTAATAAATGGAATTAAAAACATTCTGTCTCCCCTTCGCATTTTGTGTTGTGAAAATTAAATTATTTTCTCAGAACCCATTGTTCTCAATTCTGGAAAGTACGCGCATTCAGGAGTTATTCTATTCACATTTATAGATCCTGAAACGCCGAAAAAATTTAGTTTAAGCAATTGAATGAAGTTTTTTTTCAATTTCAATGAATGTAGGTTATTTATTTATACTTTTCTTAATCTTATTTTCTTCTCACTGATATTCTTTCTTATTCCTCTATGAGCACACTTAGGCTAAGAAATTCTTGAATTACTTGGTGGCTTTAAGTTTCGATTTTATTCAGTGATTATATGAACTGCAAGTATCAATTCTTCAAGAATCTGTTATTTTGAATTAAAATTTTCTTTCTAAATTACACAAAAACTGAGACCAAATGTGAGCGTAATACTCAGCTAACTGCTTTCTAGTTTCAAATGAATCAACTTTTCGAAATCAAAATTTACAGTAATATATTGATAAAATGCTGAAATGAATTAACGTGATTGATTTTTAGCAGCTCGATATATAGTTAACAGAGTTGCCATTTATATTAATCACACTCTGGGTTACTCACATAATTTGCTTAATAGTAGAATATTTGGATAAATCTTAGTATTGGCAATACGTAGATCAGCAATGGATATATGTGTTGCACTTTATTGATGGTTTCGATGAAATTACAATTATGCTTCTCTAAACTCCAATTTTTTTCTTTCGTTTTCTGATCCAATTTAAAGTATGGATCATGTCTAAGGTTTTATCACAGTACCTGAATACTGGTATCACTATATTACTCAAACGATTAATTTTAAGATTAATTTAAATTGTATACATTTTATGCTGTGTTTTATGTTAAGTGATGCTGTGAAAAAACACGTTAAAACACATGATACGAAACAGCAAAAACATTTCAATGGTACTTTTTTATCTTACAAAGTGTGGCCTAAACACAATATACTCAATGCAAAGTTTTGCGTCATCTTGAATATCAACTATTGGTCAGATATCAACTATTGGTGTCTCCGTCTGTCAAATCAATTTGGCCCAAACCTGCAATGCAGCAGATTATTTACATTTTTAAAAACTGACAACTAATAACGAATGCCAGGTTGTTTCTTGTAATCCATATGAATATTTTCATATGAAGACAAGACCAAGCAAAATTAGAATTTTTCTTGAGTATTAAATTTGAGTGCATAAATGTAAATCCACACGATCAAAAATTTATAAATCGAAACTAAGCCGAAGTACAGGCAAATAGCTGAGTGGTCGGAAATGCTCACTTGTTGGATTAATGGTGGAATCAAATCTCTTTATTTTTATGCTCAGAAAAAAAAGGAAAGAAAAATCCGAAAAAGTATATGGGCCATGTGGTATACGAGTGAATATTCATAACATTCAGATTACTTCAGGAACGCAAATTATTCAGGTTGCTTTCCATCTTTTGAATATGTTGACAACGGTGTCTTTTAGGAAGAAATGTCTTTCAATGCTACCCACATCTAGTTTTGTTCTTCAGTACATGTATATTAGTAAAGATCATTGTCCCAACTTTACTGATATTATTCTTATTTCAATTAAAATCCTTTATAAGTAATTTAGTAGTCGAGAATTTATATTTAAAAGAGGAAAATGCCTGCCTTCTTTCTTTTATTGATATTTTGTCAGGTGAACTTTCTTCATCTTTGCTTTCTCAGCTATTGCTAAATGGATCTCGATCATGATCATGGCCCCTAGCTGTGACGTCACCCATTTAGAGATTTTTCCACTCTCCTCATGTTATAAGAGAAATGACCGAGTTGGGATGCTTCCTTTTTCCAAAGGGGAAATGCGACCTACTAATGTTTTTTCATGATCAAGTAGATTATTATCGCCCTCCTTTC